AAATAATTTTTCTAGCGAAGTAGTTGAAGTAGACTTTGATAATGTATGTTTAGTTTTAAGAATGTTGCTTATGGTTGGCTCTGATGAATTGATAAATTGGTTTGTTTGATCATTATTGATAATGGCCAATTTATCACTTTCCGAAAAATGTTGATTCTTTAGTGGATAGTTTTGGTTGGTAGTTTCTAGTGTAGTCTTATTATTTTTGGAGAATATAGAATGATTTAATGGTTTATAATTAATCATCAATGCTTTATAAAAGATTAATGTCAAATAAAAACTCTCACATTATTTTCCAAACTGTTTAATTTCATTTTCATATTATCAATTTGTTCATCACTTATATGACCAGAAACAACAGAGAATTTTCCAACAATAATTTGAATCGAAGATAAAAACTCATTAAAAGAATATTGCCATTCTATTATCCAATAAAAAAAATTATAAAAATGTTTAATTTGTTTTTTGAGAAACAATAATTTCATTTACCATCTTGAATATTTTTCAATGAACCAATTCTATCAACGAATAATTCAATAATCGTCCACATTTCATTTTGTGAATTTCTAAATAATAATATATTTTTTTTTGGAATCGTTAAAAAAAAATGAACCTTTTCTTTTTCTAAACAAGCATTCAAAAATTTTTTAATAAATTAATACAAACATTTCCAAATCCTTGCATATAATTCTTAGTAAATTTTTTAAAGTTTCAAGAACTCGAAAGTATAATGAGTCATCAAATTCAACTTGTTTTAAAAGTCCAAGTAGTATAGAATATGAATCACTGTATGAAAAAAGAAATTTCAATTATTAACCTTTGCATCATTGAAAAAAAAATATAATGCTTTTATAATAATAGTATGAAAATCACATACTTTGAATCTCTTACTATATCATGAACCTTTAGATATAATTCATCAAAATCATCTTGATATTCTTCTTCATACAGATAAATTTGTGTTAAAAGGTTTTCTGGTGGATCTGATCTTTTGATATTCTATTAAAAAAATATATATCAGTTTAAGAATAATTTTAATCAATTCAATAAAAAATTTTGTTATTTCTTGTTAAAAATACACCATGAAAGCTTCATTTAATCCTCTTCTTGAAAATTCATCTCTCAACAACATTCTTTCTTCAACTTCCTCAGGTGAGTTTACTATTGCATTAATCAAACTTAAACATGCAGCTTTATATTCCATTGACACACTATCTTCTTCTATTTCATTTGTTCCTTTCAATGTTTCAATCAAATATTGAAATCGAAACTTTTCATCATTTATTTGCTTGAAATCTGAAAAGGCCGATAATACCAGATGATGTCCATCTAACGACATCACACACAATGCTGCTAATACATCAGCCACTTGTGATCTCAGTTTATTATTTCGTGTATTAATACAGAAAACTATGCTGCTAATTAATGTCCGAGATTTAAGTACTTTGTCATACCCAGGCTTATTATGCAAATAAATAATTAGATTAATGAATAAATAAAATAAATAAAATCCTAAAAACATATCATTAGTACCTCTGTATTCAATAAAACTCTTAAAATTCTAATACATTCAGATTGCACTCTAGCATCATGATCACTATTTCTTGTATGACTAATATATTAAGGAAATTTTAATATATGAATTTCAGTTAACAAAAAAAATATTATTGTTATTATCTCCCTACAATAACAAAATTTATATATTGTTAACCTTTTCTTAATATCAACTGTATAACTTTCTAATATATTTTCTAATGCTTCTAAACCTTTGC